AGATAGATAGATAGATAGATAGATAGAATAGCTTAAGAAAAACATAAAAAAGAACTAGAAAAATACAGAAAACAATAGAATTTGAATGAAAGAAAGAAAACGTAAAAGGCATAATTAAAAAAGGAATAAAGAAAGAAGTGAAGTATGGAAATAAATAAAGAAAGAAAATAAAGTGTAACCCGGATATAAGAGAGTTGTCGGGACCGGAGAAGTATCTTATATCCGGGTTTCTCTTATATCCGGGTTTGGTCTATATGTATACATTAACACAGGCTCTAATTTGGGACCAGATAAAAATCTCTCTTATATCCGGGTTTCTCTTATATCCGGGTCTCTTATATCCGGTTTACAGTATATATATATATATACAGTGTAACCCGGATATAAGAGAGTTGTCGGGACCGGAGACGAAGTCTCTTATATCCGAGTTTCTCTTATATCCGAGTTTGGTCTATATGTATACATTAACACAGGCTCTAATTTGGGACCAGAGAAAATCTCTCTTATATCCGGGTTTCTCTTATATCCGGTTCTCTTATATCCGGTTTACAGTATATATATATATATATATATATATAAAAAATATATATATATATATATAAAAATATATATATATATATATATATATATATATATATAAAAAGAAACCCGGATATAAGAGACTTTTCTAAGGTCCTGACAACTCTCTTATATCAGGTTACACTGTATATATATATATATATATATATATATATATAACTTTCTTATATCCGGGTTACATTTATATATATATATATATATATATATATATATATATATATATATATATATATATATACACAGTGTAACCCGGATATAAGAGAGTTGTCGGGACCATGTTTTAGAAGAAGTCTCTTATATCCGGGTTTCTTTTATATCCGGGTTTGGTCTATATGTATACATTAACACAGGCTCTTATTTTGTGACCGGAGAAAATCTCTCTTATATCCGGGTCACTTATATCCGGGTTACACTGTATAATGATAGTTAAGTTAGGAACCAAACAAGAAAGAATGAAGAAGAAATCAAAGGACCCAGCAACCCAGTTAACATAAGAAATAAAAGGAATTTACATATAAGTAAATAGTAAGATGTAAGCAAAGAAAGAAAGAAACAGAGGAGAAAGAAGTAAGATTGGATTCTCATAAAAAAAAATCTACAATACAAGCAAAATAGGCGGGAAACAATAGAAATGAAAAGAAGAGAAAGGTCTCAAGTCAAAAAGAAGTTGATGAAAAAAGAACAAATTTAGAAGGAAGATTGCTGGTGAAATTGGAATGAAAAAGGAAGAAAGAAAGAAAAGTAGTAAAAAGAGCGGCCAATTTAAATGAAAGTTAAAGAAAATCACAAATTAAATAAGAAATAATAATGCAAAAGAATGGGGGAAAAGAGCCCAAATTAAAATGATCAACAAATAAAGAATTAATATTAAATAAATATCTAGCTCTAACATCTCAGTGGACGTGCGTGATTGGCTGGTTATATTCAATGCATTTTCAAACCAAACTACATCGCCGATCCGACCCTGAACTATTACCAATCACAGTGAAAGGATGTTCTCTCAGGGAGATACCGTGACTTGACCGACTATTAGGCCTCAAACTCAAACCAAATCTCAAGTGGAACGCGTATATACGATCGATCGCTCTCTGTGCCGCGCCAGGAAATTTTTCTCCCCTGAATCTATACTTCAAATATACAAAACAACTATTCGCCTTTGCATGGATTATTGCTGCCATATATGGGCTGGGGCACCTTCTGCTTACCTCGGAGTTCTTGACAAGATCCAGAGACAGATATGTAATCTAATTGGCCCTGATCTGGCGTCTCGTCTGCAGTCACTCTCTCACAGACGCGCCGTCGCCTCTCTCAATCTTTTCTACAAATACTTCCATGGTAACTGCTCTGACGAGCTGCTTTCACTGGTTCCCAGACTCCATGAATTCAAGCGCCCTACGAGGCTGGCATCCCGCTCCCACCCTTACACCGTAGAAACTCTCAAATGTAGCCGTCTCTTCTACTCCAATAGCTTCATACCTCGCACCTCTCACCAGTGGAACACCCTCCCCAGTTACTGCTTCCCTGAAGGCTATAATCTCCAACTATTCAAATGTAATGTCAATCGACTCCAGTTACCTTGATCTACCCACTATCCTTCTCTCCATCCTTTCTCCTATCACTCCTATCTGCTCTCGCTCCAAATCTTCCGCAACCCCCTGCATCCCAGTGGCTTCACGCCTTGCTTGGGGCGTAATGCTTTAAAAAAAAAAAAAAAAAAAAGTTGCAGGAAAAATAGTCAGTTTCTGTACCGTCCCGTTAAGTAACTAATTCTTCGGGCTATACGTTACCATTACACGAGCTATAAATTGGAGTACTGCTGTCATATTTGGGCAGATGACCAGTCGTCAGCTTCCAGTCTCGATAGAGTCCAAAAGCGTTTCCGCGTCCTAACGGATGACAAATTATTTTCTACCCTGAAAGCTCTCTCTTACAGACAGGATGTCGTAAGCCTCTCACTGCTCTATCGCTACTTCAATGAAAAGTTCTCAGACGAACTACATTCCTTATTTCTACAAGTTCTAATCTTCACGGCTAGGACCCGCCATTCTACACACTTTGTAGCGAACTACTCTCATTCACTCCGTATTGAGAATGTTCATCTCGAGCAGCTTCTTCCCCCGAACCACTGCCCTGTGGAACCGACCCCCAAGAGGATGATTTCCCGTTCTACAATCTAGGGTTAGTCGTTATCATCCCTATATATCCGCATTAACTGTGTCTCTTACTCTCTAAACCTCTACCTATAGAAGCTCCCGGATTTGGTATAAAACGAACCACATTGCAAAATTATTGTAGAATTTTCTAAATATGATTTATTAATATTTAATGAATCAATAACCTTCTTGTGAGTTCCCCGATTATAAAATACCCGTCGAAATACCCCCCACTGCATCGTTAAATATTTGATCTTAACAAGCATAAGTATGGAATCAAGTCATTATTCAAAGAAGTAAGAGGATACAAATAAAAATATCAAAACGTCAGAAAATATTCACCTTCACGGGAGCAGACATTAAAGAAATGAGAGTATTATCGCCTCATCTGTCTTCAATTCATTTCTTTATGTGTGTCTCTGTGAAATCAAATTGCGTCTCTGATCGAAACCATATAGCCCTTTATATATGAGGCAATAACAGGGAGTAACGTACGTCTTAATTAATTGAGGAACGAAGGAATAAGCTAAATTATAATATGATGATATGATGATATTAATAAAAAGAAAACAAAGTAATGACTTCGACTAAAATATAAAAAAGAAACAGTTTATGTTAAAAAAAGAAAGAATAAAAATAGGATTTAAAGATGTCTTCCCAAGAGAAAGCGCAAAGACTACATACAAACAAAATAAATACAAAATATCTGTCAATAATTTAAAAAAAAACGAAGCTGAATGAAGCGAGAGAGAAAGAAAGGAAAAAATTTTCATCAAATCACACAACTGTGCGCACTTTTAGTTAATGAATTGAAATAAAAAGCAAATACAACAATTTGTGAGTGACTTTGATGTCCAGATTGCCCGACAGACACAAAGACAAACATTATTAGTGACCCAACCAGTTATCGAACCAGTAGTTCAGCCGATCATTGGTGTGACCGGTTTATATTGCAATCGATACAAGGCTATCAGGCTCACGGAAGGGATATGATTGATTAACATTACAAGAGAAAATAGAGTATCACTTTGGTTTGTAAGTGTTTTTAAGTTAGGCGCGCATGCGCAGACGATGGCTCTTATTAAATCAGAGGCTTTCAAACAGATATGAGGAGAGTACTTAAAAGTAAATATCAATATGGCCGGAAGCAAAATGCCAAGAAACAAAAAATCCGTTATAAACCACAAAAAAGAATGCTGGTGTTCTATGTGACGTATATTCTCTTATATGGCAGTGAATGCTAGAGAATCTCTTCATGGATGCGGGGAAAGGTGGAAGCAGCAGAAAGGTGGTTCTACAGAAGGATTATGAGAATTTAATGGACAGAGCGAGTAACCAACGTGTAAGTCTTAAAGAAAATAGAAACAAAAAGAATACTTATATATTCAGAATAAGACTGAAATCTGCTGAAATTCCTTGGACACATAATGAGAGAGCATAGTGAGGGCAATAGTGAATAGCCGCAGGCCATTAGCGGACGGGTTTGTGGGAATAAATGGCGAAACCGGCGGCAGAAGCATTAGCAAAGGGAGAAAAATGCTAAGGGCCACATTTTATGGATTATGCAAAAGCGTTTGATAAAGCGTTTCTATTTTCTTCTTACTTTCATCTTCTTTTCCACATTTACCTTCTCCCTTCCCTCCTTAACTTTCACTCTTTCCTCCTCTCTTTTCCTATTCCAATTTCTCTTTTCACTCCTCTACCTTCACTCTATACATCTTCACCTTCCCCGTTTTCTACCGCACCTTCTTCCTTTCCTCCTTCACCTTCTCTCTTTTCTCTGTCGTTTTCTTTCCTTCCTTCACCGTATGCCTTTCCTCCTCCGGCTCCTCCCTTCCCTCCATCACATTCTGCCGTCCTTCCTTCACTTTCTTTCTTTCTGTCTTACACCTTCTCGCTTACGTGCTTCACCATTTCCTTCCCCTCTTTCACCTCCGGCATTTCCTCTTCTACCTACTCCTTTTACACTTTCTACCTTTCTTCCTTCATTTTCTCCCTTCCGTCCTTCAACTTCTCTCTTTCTAAATTCACCTTCCTTCTTTTCTTCACCTTCTCCTACTTTTCCTTTCACCCCGCTTCCCTGCTTTACCTTCTCTTTTCCTCCTTCACTTTTTCTCTTCCATCCTTCAACGTCTCTTTCTAGCCTCACCTCCTTTGCTTCATTCACCTTTTAGTCTTTCCTCCTTCATTTTCTTCCTTCACATTCTCCTTTTCCTCTTTTACGTTCTTCTTTTCCCCCTTCTTGCTCCCTTACGCCCTTTACCTTCCTACTGACCTCCTCCTCTGTCTACCATCTCTCACTCACTTTCTCCCTTCTGTCCTTCAACTTCTCTCTTTCTAACTTCACCTCCCTTTTCTTCACCTCCCTTTTCTTCACCTT